GCCTTCTGCCTATTCAAGACATTCTTCCTAAAACTTGTATCTCCCTTGCATTTTCAGTTTTTACCCTCACTACTAAATCATTGTCACGAACATATAACATCCAGTGGTGATCCAGACTGAAAAAGGATTATCTTGACTGCATTTCCCCTTCTGACAGGAATTGCATTGTATCTGTAGTTCACCTTGGGTAGTGAGGACATTTTAATAATATTAAGTTTTCCAACCCATGGACACTGGATGTCTTTCCATTTATTTGTGTCTTCTTTAATGCCTTTCATTATTGTTTGGTAGTTTCCACTGTACGAGTCTTTTTACTTCCTTGAAAAAGTTTATTCTTAAGTATTTTATTGTTTTTGGTGCTATTGTATATGGGATTGTTTTCTTAATTTCCTTTTGCATAGTTCATTGTTAGTCCCCTGAATGCAAAAGCAGACAAAAACACTACAAGAAATCCATAGGCCAATAGTCCTGATGAACACAGATGCAAAAATCCTCAACCACAAAAAACCCAGCAAACCAAAATCAGTAGCCCATTTAAAGGACAATACACCATGACCATGTGGTCTCTATCCCTGGGATGCAAGGATGGCTCAACATAAGCAAATCAATCAAAGTGGTCCACCATTTTAACAGAATGAAAGATAAAAATCACATGATCTATACACCATTATGTTCATAGCAGCACAATTCACAATAGCTAAGATTTGGAAACAGCTTGAGTGCCCATGTGCAGATGAATGGATTAAAAACGTGTGGTACATCTACCAAATGGAATACAACACTGCTGTAAAAAAGAAAGAACTCTTACCATTTGCAACAGTATAGATGAACATGGAAAGCATTATGCTAAGTGAAATAGGCCAGTCAGAGAAAGATAAATATCACATGATCTCAGTCATTTGTGGAATATAATAAACTGATGAACAGAAATAGATCCAGAGACAGAGAAGCATCAAAAAGACCATCAACCTTCAGAGGGAAGATAGGGGAGGATGGGGGCAAGGGGGAGAGATCAACCAAAGGACTTGTATACATGCATATAAGCCTAACTAATGGACACAGTCACTAGGGGATGATGGAATGTACTGGGGGGTGGGGGTGGTCAGGGAGAGCTCAAAGTGGGGGGGAGGCATATGTAATACTACATGTAATACTTTAAATAATAAAGACTTTTAAAAAATAAAATAAAAATCACATGATCATCACAGTAAGTGCAAAAATTGATAAAATTCAATACCCTTTCATGATAAAAATTCTTAACAAGCTAAGTATAGACAGAATTTGCCTCAACATAATAAAGGTCACATATCACAATGCTGCAGGTAACATCATACTCCACCGTGAAAACCTGAAAGCTTTTCAGATGTTCTTTTTTTGTTTTTGTTTTTAAGATCCAGAAAAAGGTAAGGGTGTCTGTCCTTGACATCTCTGTTCAACACAGTACTGGAACTTCTAGTCAGAGACATGAGGCATGAAAATAAATAAATAAAAGGCTTCCAAATTGGAAAGGGAGAAGTAAAAGTAAATGTTTGCAGATGACATTATCTTATATATGTAAAACTCTGAAGATCACACACACACACACACACACACACACACACACACACACACACACACACACCTGTTAGAACTAATAAACTCAGCAGAGTTACAGAATACAAAATTCTCCCTTCTTCAAATGACTCAGTGGGAAGTACCAGCAGGGGAGCAGAGAGAGGATACTAAATTGGGGGAATGTGTCTCTCTAGCTCCCTCCCTCTGAGCTCACTGACTGATGGCTAATGACCGCTCATGTCCAGCGGGTCAGACCCTCTACACTGTCTTTTCTGTCTCAGGTGTTGGTAACTGCTCCCTTTGTTCCCCACCTATAGGCCTAGCGGCACAATGTCCTCCTGGTCATTATAGGCCTGAGGTCCTGACCTTTCCCTTGTGATTTCTATACAGCCTTCTCTCATCTTTGAACAAATCCCACTTAGGAACTGCTTCAAATTGCCCAAGTGAAAGGTGTATCAGGTCAGTGTCCTGAGTAATACATCTCACACACACTCCACTTATGAGAAAATGTTATCACATCCACTTTCAAAACATATCCCAAACATAACCCATTTCCACCAACTGCTCCATCCTCATCCTAGTTTAACCCACCGCCATTTCTCACCTGGGTGAGAGCAATAGCTTAGTACTTCTGCTCTCTCTTTCTACCCCATTCTATTCTCCACACAGCAGCCAGGGTCTCTTTTCAAGAAGTAAGTCTGATAATGCCTCTTCCCTGTTCACAAGCTTCTAAAGGCTTTCCACTACACACAGAATGAAATAAAAAATAAAATTCCTCAGGATGGTCAGACAAAAAGGCTCTGTTGAGATGGCCTTTGCTTCTCCTAATCCCCTTGCCTGGCAGACTCTGTAATGCTTACTTGCATTGCTTCGGTCATAGGGGCCTCCTTCAAGTGCCACGACACTCATATTGTGCCGCTACTTCAGAGCATTTACCTACCCTCAATGCCACTTTCCAGGGACCATTCTTATCCTAGCTATTTGCATGCACCATCTCTCCTTTCTTTCAGCCCTCTGCTTAAGTCATCCTATCAATGAGACATTCTTTGAATTCACTGTCTAAAATAACATCCTCTAGTCCATAGCTACATACACGGCTTTATTTCCCTCCATATTACTCATCTCTGCCTCATAGGATCTCCATATCGACTTGTCTGTTTCCACTTCCCGATGGGTGACGGGATTGCCACGCTTACTCACCAACTACTACCCGAACCTAGAACAGCGCATGGCGTTTACTTAGAAGCTTTAAATAAATTTGTGGTGAATGAATGAATGAACGGGAATGGAAATATACCAAATGGATCAACTTGATGAAATGCAAACTTAAATGAAAATTCAATTCATAGTTAGTGTACTTAATGAGCAGGTAGAAAAAGACTCAAACTAATTCAATAGCATCAAATTAAAATAAGCTGAGTCAACCTCTAACAGGGGAACTCTTCCTTGAAATGGGACTACACATATTTCCAAGTCAATTAATAGCGATTCCTCACCTGCACGATGTCTGCAAGGGCATGTTAGGCTTTAATGCTCTGGTTTTCCTGTAATATTGTTGTTATCTTTTGTTTTGTATGTTGTGGTCCACGGCAGAGCAAGACCCTTTGTTCATGAACATTATCTGAAAACAACACCCCACTATGCCATGTACCATACATAGAAAAGCGTATATAAATGCATATGCCGGACAATAGATAGCAAAGGGAACAACAGAAACTCTTTCCAGGGTGAGCTACAGGTATTACCAAGATTTCTCTAAGTTTCCTCTCTTCCAGATTTTAACATCCTCCTCTCCTAATAATTATCCTGAATGCTGATTCAATCATGTCCTTGCCATTTCAAATCTGCATAGGAAAACTATAAAGATCTGCATAAAAGTGAAATTATCAATGATTCCGCTGTCATTTGTGGTTTCCTCATTGCTGTGTTATGAATCACTCCTATTGCTGTACTCAATTTTAATTGATTAAGTCTGATTTTTGTGCATGATTCCATTACAGAAATATACGTTAATTTATTTCTCCGTGGTACTCTTGTTAGGCTTTCAGGTGGTTTTCAGACTGCTGTGCTACTACTCTTCAGAAATCACTGTGAATCTCCTTTCACATGCCTTTCCGTTACTATTAGAACTGGTCTCTCCCTTTAGAAAACTTTATAATTCTATGTTTAATCAACTTTACATTGATCTTGCAATTACTGTGTCGGAAATCTGTTTTCCGCATTCTTAGTCAGCAGTTCACCGTAGCCCTTTGAAAACTGACTGACCTCACCCTAGATAATTCCTTTGGAAAAGCTCTGAAGTTAACGCGGCAATGACAGTGAGCCGTCTCCAGAGAGCATTCTTTTCCTAAAAGCACCCACATCCAAGCCTCTTACCTATGTGGGGATTGACTGAAAATATTTTGATAGTTTTTAACATCACAGAAGAGTTTCTTTCTCATGACATTATGTTAAATTGGACAGCCTCCAGGAGTTTCTTCCTCATCACATTATGTTGGAGTCCCCTGAGGATCTTCCATGGAAAGAACTCCAAATACATACATAGAATCTCAGGTGGACAAAGAAAATAAACGTGCTTCTCTTTCAAATTGGTGAAGCAGTTACTCATTTCAATGTCTACTTGCAATTGACCACGTGACTCCAGCCTTGATTACACTGAGGGACAAAATTACACTCCCCACTAAAAAAGACTGCCAGGCATAACCAATAAAAATTGAGGACACACAGTGAAATCTGCATGTCAAATAAATAGTCCATCTCTTTAGCAGAAGTCATGTCTAATGCAATATTTGGCAACTACTGATACTGAAAACTACTCGTTTTTAAGTCTCAAATGCAATTCAGTAGGCTTTGTGTGTTTTACCTGTGACCCTATGGCTTTCGTAGGCAGTCAGTCGAGCTCTCCAGGTTTCCTTGAAGGGGTCCGATTTGCCGGAGACGGCTGTTTGTATTTCAGGAGCTCCCTGGCTGCGCGGGCCTTGGCCACCTCTCATGGCATTTGCTTATTCGTTTCACAAGAGCACATTACCTTGGAGCAGGGCGCTGAGCGTCTGCGGGTACGTGCTCTTCCTTGGGAGGATGTGTTGTGGCTGGTCTACTGGAAACAATGTTTCCAAGGAGCAAGCAGCTTCCGCCTTGGAAGGAACAGCAAGCACAGAGGCTGTCATGTGGCTCCAGGGAAGCAGCTCTGGCCTGGAATTCTGTGTGCAGCCCCGAAATCGCGCGAGACCCTGGATGGGATGGCAGAGGTCTTTTCAACCTCACCGGCTCCCATAGCTGCCGACCTATGAACCGGAAGTCGCCCTTCACACCTTGGCTGACCCCAGCTGGCGTCCAGCTGTTAGGCCGCCCTTCTTGTGTGCTGACCTGCTGCGGCCCTTGGCTGGCCCGCTCCCTTCTCCAGGCTTCTAGAACTTTCCCAGCACAGCCGGGCCACAGTGAGCATCATGTCTGCCTATGGGCGCGGCGCAGGGGGCTCCGGGGACCAGTCATGGAGGGAGGCCCGGGTGCGAACATCCAGGGACCTGCGTGGAAGGTCCCAGGCCCAGAGGGGCTGCAGAGTGAGCAGGCACAGAGGCGGCAGCGGGGACGCCGTCGCTCCCCTCCTGGCCGGCGCAGACCCCGAAAATGACAGCATGGTCCCGGGGATGCAGGGAGCCAGAGCAGAAGCCACAGGCGAGTACTCGTACTCGGACCGCGAGCCCAGAGAGGAAGGGGCGGCGGCGGAGGAAGCAGAGGAAGCGGAGGGGGGCGAGGAGGCGGCCCAGGGGCGGCACAGCGCTCGGAGCGGTGGGGCCTGGCCTGCCCAGCGCGTGTCCCAGGGGGACAGGGCCCTGGAGAACTGGGTGTCCTCGGAGACCTCGGCCCTGCCCCGGCCGCGCTGGCAGGTGCTCACTGCGCTGCGCGACCGCCAGCTGGGCTCCAGCGCCCGCTTCGTGTATGAGGCCTGTGGGGCCCGCGCCTTCGTGCAGCGCTTCCGCCTGCAGTACGGGCTGGAGGGCCACAGCGGCTGCGTCAACAGCGTGCACTTCAACCAGCGCGGCACCTGGCTGGCCAGCGGCAGTGACGACCTCACCGCGATCATCTGGGACTGGGTGCGCCAGCGCCCCGTCATGGCCTTCAACACGGGCCACAGAAATAACGTCTTTCAGGCCAAGTTCCTGCCCAACTGCGGCGACTCCACCCTGGCCACGTGTGCCCGCGACGGGCAGGTGCGCGTGGCACAGCTGCCCGCTATCTCGCTGAGCAGGGTTTCTAAGCGTGTGGCCCAGCACAGGGGGGCCTGCCACAAGGTGGCCCTGGTGCCAGACTCCCCTGTCAGGTTCCTCACGGCGGGGGAAGATGCGGTTGTCTTTGACATTGACCTCAGGCAGGACCACCCAGCTTCCAGAGTGGTGGTCACCAAAGAGAATGAGTCCAGGGTGGGCCTGTACGCAGTCTTTGTGAATCCTGCCAATATTTACCAGTTTGCTGTCGGGGGGAGGGACCAGTTTGTGAGAATTTATGACCAGAGGAAAATCAATGAGACTGACAATAACGGGGTGCTCAAGAAGTTCTGCCCTCATCATCTGGTCCACTGTGAGTCCCAGTCATTCATCACCTGCCTGGTGTACAGCCACGACGGCACAGAGCTCCTGGTCAGCTACAACGACGAAGATATCTACCTCTTCCACTCCTCCCACCCGGATGGGGCCCAGTACGTGAAGCGATACAAGGGCCACAGAAATAATGCCACGGTCAAAGGTGTCAATTTCTATGGGCCCCGGAGTGAGTTTGTGGTGAGCGGCAGTGATTGCGGGCACATCTTCCTCTGGGAGAAGTCGTCCTGTCAGATCGTTCAGTTCTTGGAGGGGGACCGGGCAGGGAACATCAACTGTCTTGAGCCCCATCCTTACCTGCCTGTGATGGCCACCAGTGGCCTAGACCACGATCCCAAGATCTGGGCACCCACAGCTAAAGCGGCCACCAAGCTTCTTGGCTTAAAGGACCTGGTTAAGAAGAACAAGCGGGATCGAGATGGAGACGGCTCGGGCCACAGCAACCCGATTCAAAATAACATGCTTTCGTTCCTCATGCATCACATCACACGCAGAAGTCATCCCCTTTCAGGGCGTCGTCCCAGGGCACCTCTTGAAGGGAGAGTCCCGGATGCAGAGTCAGATGAGTCTTCTCGTTCCTCAGATGCATCCGAGGAGGAAGAAAACTGAAACTGTCAGCGGAGCCGCCATCCTGAATGCCCGATTCCTGCTCCAGCTAGACGTCACCTCGGGAGGACTTTCAAGTTTGCAATTCACTTTACCTGTTATATTTGCCGTTTGCCTTCTATTTTCCACCATGAAAACGTCCTTTCATCTCTTGCCTGTAGTATCCTTTCTTCCTTTATGACGTGTTTCTTTCCTCGTTCCTTTTTCCTCACTTGGTTTCTTTGCTTCTCATTCCTATGTGAATGTGTAAGCAGTTTATTCATGCCCTTTTTCTTTTGTTCTCTTATGTTTGACCTCTAAAGGTTCCTAACTCAGGAGGAAATTCTAATGGCCTCATGGAATCTATATTCTCATTTCTGACACTTTGGAAACTTACATGTTGTTTTCATCTTTAGTAGGTAATATTAAGGTCCTCAGCTGAGCTAAGAATTCTAGAAATTTGTTTATTGTTTAAAAGTAAGTAGAAACTGCGTACATAGAGGCATATGCACTTGTGCAAACACACACAGACTCCCACCCACACAGAGTGACAAAGGGTGAGAGAGAAAAAAGAAAATGAAAGAAAAGGTGGTTAGATAAATTCCTACCAAGATATGTTGTCTGTCTAAATGTAATAACTTTGTGTTGTTCCCATTTTGTGAACGCACATGTTAATATTGATTGAGTTGAGTAGAGGGGCTGGTAGAGATGAAATTTAATTAGAAGATGTTGTTTACTCTGTACTTTGAATTCTCATGCATTTTCATGGCTGAGAACTTCCAAAGGATTACCTTCCAAGAAGTTCTCTTGGGACAACCATCTCCTTCAAGATACCAGACAATAATATAAGAATTCCTAATGTTTGAAAATATGTATTTGCAACTAATTTTAAGAATAAATTCATGTTTCAATAAAGAGTTGTGTTTATACTGACAGATAACTGTGTGATATCTTTGGAATAAATTTCTCATTAGACATCTGTGGTTGGCTCAAAATTCTCTTTGACTCTTTTCAAGAGGCTAAATTGCTTTTAAAAATGTTCTGTTTTAAGCCTTCTTTAATGTAAATGTGGGCATACGATGTCCAGCTACAGTTCAGTCATAATGTTTTTGTTTTGTAAACATTATTTGTGTGAGAGATGCAGAGGTCTCCTTTGCCCCAACACCCCTGTGAAGGATAACACCCTTCTTTTCAGATGATTGTTGGTACAGAAGGATGTGATAAAACATCCTGTGGCCTAACAAAGGCTTTTCTTCAATAATGCTCCTTAAAATGCCTATTATCTCTGGCCCCTTGGTAGAGATGTTGGAGAAATTTATATAATGAGATAACACTTTAAAATGGAAAATTATTGACCACAATTTCTCTTCACTGAGATTCAAAGTTAGGGACAACTTCCTAGTTATCTGGGGCCCATGGGTAACTCCTCCCAAGTGTTTTGTCAGCAAAGGACCTTAAATGTGGGGGTGGGTATGTGGGTGGGAAGAGATCAATCAAAGAACTTGTATGCATATATGCATAACCCATGGACACTGAAAATATGGTGGTAAGGCCTGGGGCAAGGGATAGGGGCAGGCTAGAATGGGTCAATGGGGGAGAAAAGGGGACATATGTAATACTTTCAACAATAAAGTTTTTATTAAAATTATAAAAAAATACAATGAATCTAAACTAACACTGTGGTTTAAAACAAGACATAAGGAAAACAGAGTTGCCCTGGCTGGTTTGGCTCAGTAGATAAGAGCGTTGGCCTACGGACTGAAGGGTCCCAGGTTCGATTCTGGTCAAGGGCACATGCCTAGGTTGCAGGCTCGATCCCCAGTGAGGGGCGTGCAGGAGGCAGCCAATCAATGATTCTCTCTCATCATTGATGTTTCTATCTCTCCCTCTCCCTTCCTCTCTAAAATCAATAAAAATATATATTTATTTTTTAAAAAAGGAAAATAGTTATAAACTAGGATCCCAAATTTGGGGCTATCCTGCACAATTGAGTAGGGGTGTAAACTAGGAACAGGATACACAAATTTAAAAAAAAAGAAAAAAAAAACACTTGGAATTTGCAGTGACACTGGGTGGCAGCAAGAACAGTGGCAAGAGTGGATTACTACCCAGTTCTTTATTCACCTGCTTTTTAGATGCACGTCAGTCACGGGGGGGTTGGGGGTTTGTACTCTGAACTGAAACCTCCTTCAGAGTTCCCTGCTTGGCTCTGAGATTCTTTGTGCAAAAAGAAGCACTTGGAGTGAGATTTGGAAGGCAAGTAGTATCCCTCTTTGATTTATGCTCAGAAAGAAGGGACAGAGGCACATTGGTACTCATCTGGTATTCATCTGAGGCAAGAGCCAGGCCCACAGCTACAGCAGCTCCCCCTGAGGTCTTTCATCTTCAGCAGCTCCATACAAAAGAGTCCCCCCCTTCTGCCCAGCACTCCAGTCCCCATGGTTGGAGGTTTGGAGGCTGCAAAAGGTCAGCATGGTTTCCAGACTGTCCTCTCAGGTTCCATCTGTTCCTTACAGATTCCAGTCTTTCTCTGCTTCCCCACTTCTCATCCCTCTCTTCTCCCTGAATGCTATGCTGACCTCAGGCTCCAGCACCTGAAGCAAAGACAGAAGCCTCATGAAGGCTGCTTATGCGGATCCTGCAATCACATACCATCAGGTCCCTGTTACAATCCCCTTACACGCATATCACCTCCGGTGTTTCTGTTCCTCTGTTTGCCCCCTGAGGGAGGCAACCATCCCCCTGTAGTTTAGATTGAGTAAGGCACCAGACTGCTTAGGCAATTTGCCGTTTGGAAGAGTAAATTCCTCTTAAGAGAAACCTTTGACTTGATCAATATAAATGGACAGATGGATGAGTAGATATAGAGATAGATGGGTAGAGAGAGAAAGAGAGAGAATATGGAGTCAAATAACTCATTTGAAAAGTAAAATTATGATATTGGGTGAAAACCAAGCTGGTGGCATAGGTCCAGGAAAATGAAAGTAATGTTACCAGTTTAATTCATGTAAATATTGGTCTATTAGTATATGGGAGAGAGCAATAAATAATCACAATGGAGGAGACAAATGGCAGCGGTATAGATGGACGTGTCCCGTGCCTTGTCCCAGAGCAGATAGGGTGAGTAGCTGAAATAAGTAACATCCAGCCTGAATTGGCAGAGGAAATTCAGCTGGGAGAGTTTGCAGCCAGGAAAGGCAGAGGACTCCTGGAGAAAGGGGACTGTTGGAGTTTGCCAGATCAGGCTCCCTTAATCAGGCAGCCTCCACTGCTGCAGAAATCTCTGGGAGCAGCCAGCTCAGCAGGAGCGACCATGCAATCTTGAGTGGCTGTTATCGGAAGTGTATACATCCAGGGACCCTGCAACCACAGCACCCAGGGACTAGCTACGAACCTGGGAACACAGGATCTCAAGCAGCACGAATACATGGACTCAGACGAGCCATGTTCCTCCTCACGGAAAGGTCAGATTTCGCCTAGATAAAGGTACAGTTTGTAATTCAGGTTGGAGAGAGGAACGTGCACGGGGGAAGTCTGTGCCCCACAAAGTCCGCGGCCGTTGGGGCCAGCGTGATCCGTGAGTGTGGAAGGGGTCCCACAGGGCTGTTGGCAGAAGGGAACTCTAAAACTCAGCCCATAGCTGGACTGGCTGAAAAAAGGCAGCCTTGGATTTTGCCAGTGTGCCAGCTGCTTATTGCCAGGGGAGAGAGGAAGTGCAGAAGAGACTTTGAGAGATTTGCGCACAGAGCTGGTTGGTGGAGTGTTGTGAGCTAGCGCACCTACGCAGGCTCTTTTTTTTTTTCTCTCCTTAAATCTTTGCGTTTTATTATTAAACCTAATACATAGGATCGCCCAATTGGGGTCACTCACAGAGACTGCAGGGAAAGTTGTTTTTGTGGAACCTGGGAATCAGAGCGGGGAGTAATGATCAAGGAACCGGCTCTGGGGCAGTCGACTCTCCCAAACCAGTATTAAGTGTGATAAGGAAAACAAAAACTAAATACTGGCTAGAGCGGACTTATAGCCTCGGAGGTCAATTCAGAAACACTGCCACCCAGGGGCTGAACCACAAACTGACTCTTCTGTAGACACAAATAAAGGCAGTCTGGTAAACAAATACGGCCTGCTTTAAAATCAGGACTGTGGTTTACAACACGGAGGAACAGTGTATCACAGGGAACTTCAACACTTTCCTGAATACCTGACAGGACTAAGGTGTGCCAAACAGAAGAGTAGAGGAAATGAAGGACCTTCACTACTACACTTTTTTTTTCACCTTTTACTTAAGAAACTATTTTTTTCTTTTTTCATCACCTGATTTTTCCTTTTTTATTTTTCTTAATTAAATATTTATTGTTTAGATTATTACAGTTGTTCCTCTTTTTTCCCCCCATAGCTCCCCTCCACCGGGTTCCCACACCACCCTCTGCTTTTACCCCCCCCCCCCCCCACACACACACATCTTCTCAGATCACAATGGCATAAAACTGGAAATCAACTACAATAAAAACAATCCAAAAAAATCAAACACATGGAGACTAAGTAGCATGCTATTAAATAATGACTGGGTTACCAGAGAGATGAAAGAAGAAATAAAAAACATCATGGCAACAAACAACAATGAAAACACAACAATCCAAAACCTATGGGACACATAGAAAGCAGTCTTGAGAGGGAAGTTCATAGCTCTACAAGCCTACTGCAGAAAAAACAAGAAACAATGATAATAAATTACCTAACCCTACAACTCAAAGAGTTAGAAAGAGAGCAATAAGAAAAGCCCAGTGTAAGCAGAAGGAAGGAAATAATAAAGATCAGAGTGGAGATAGACGACATGGAGACCAAAAAAACAATACAAAAGATCAACAAAACCAAGAGCTGGTTCTTTAAAGGATAAACAAGATTGATGAACCTCTAGTCAGGTTCACCAAGAACGAAGAGAGAGGACCCAAATAAACAAAATCAGAAATGAAAGAGGAGAAATAACAACAGACCCCACACAAACACAAATGATTGTAAAAAAA